GCTGGGCTGGGAGCAGGACTGACATGCCAATCCTGAAAGCTGACAGGAATAAAAATAGGGTTGAAGTCAGGAATCTATGATTCTCTACTGTGTTGTACTGGCTAGGTGTACAAAAATGGTACATTAGGTGACCCTACTGCCCTTATCAATCTTGAGGTATCTAAAATCCACCCTGTTTCCCTCTAGACTCTCCTGAGGGCAGCAGGGAGGAATTCAAGAGGCTCCCGACACTGTATTTGCACATCTCTGCTATGCTCCACATCCTGCTACCAGAGCCCATCCTGCCCCTTTCCTGGAAAATAAGCCTAGCAGAAATAAAGAGAAGCAGTAAAACATTCTGAGGAGAAAAATGTAAGCCTGAAATTTTCATGATAAGTCAGACAGGTTTAATCTCCATCACAGCGAAGCAAGTCAAAGTGAGACCCTGCGATTCAGGCTCTCTTATTTATCGTGCCTTGCTTTGTTTAGGCTCTGGAGGATTGTGCTAGACTGTGGCATACTACCCTGGGATGGTCTGCAAACACTGCTTTCCAGTCCTTATTTAGCATCTCGAAAATGCAAAGAACTTATTTCCCACAGGGTGGTGCTGCTGCATTGCCTGGCATGGTCACCTGCGGAAGAGGCTGAGCCCGAGCTTTTGGTAGCAGACAAAATGAAACATGCAGCATACAGTGTCTAATCCCACTGCCAAAACAGAACCATACAGAGGCCGAACACATCTCATTCACATTAAGTATGAAAACCTCACTGCAGCCTATGTTATTGCTACAGGGGAAAAAAAAAGGAGTGAAGACAACCCTGCACAAAGTACTTATTTACAAACCAAAATACAAAATTAAAATGCAGCAGAGCTGCCCAGAGACTTACAAATATATCAATTTTAAAAAACAATTAAAGATCATATGCTGCACTTACTTACACTGAATTCACTTTCACTGTGTGGAGTAGAGTATTGTTTTCCAGGTAGGATGTGTTTGAGTTAGGATCCACGTGTTTCTGTCTTGGGCAGATGTTACCCAAGCCAGGTTAGACCACGCTGTCCCTGGAAGCCATACAGGCTCAGCGAGGCAGCGCTCCAGCCAAGCTGAAGTTCACCAGTGCTCAGCAGGGCTAGTGAGAACGGGTCATGTTATCCTGGCTAATTATTCACAGCTAGCTTGGGTATCTCTGCCTACCACTGCACTGTGCCACACCAGCACAGCCTGTATGGGGAACAGCTTGAATATTATTGCTATATAGTTCTATGTATAAAACCAAGTGAACATTTTTCTGCTGAATTAGTTCTTTAAAACAAGAATTAATTGCAAGTGTTAATTGTGAACCATACAAATGGAAATGCCTACGAAAAAATATCTTGAAATAAATATACATCTGAAAACACTAATCATTTGTTACATAGTACTATTTAATAGGGTATAAATGTATATATCATTCCAAAATTCTTCCATAATATGCAACTCTATCATGTACAACTGCTGACATGTCATGAGGTTGAAAATAAATAAATACAATTTTGTTAAGGTAAAAACAGCAGTGACTTATAACTTACTGAAATAGCGTATCTTTCTTATAGTCCAAGTTAGTCCCTATTTCTTGGTATGAAACTTTTGCATTTAGATCTAAAAATGACATTTTCATCACTACTAATTAGTAGAGCTGTCTTTACTTTTTTTTTTTTCAATGTGCATATTGTTCCTAACTCATTAAAGAGAATTTTTTTCTTTTTTAAATGAATGTATCTTACAACCAAACTTAAGGCCTCTTGCTGTATTTCATCTACTGTCATGAGAGTCACAATCAGATTACATCTCAGGATCACACAAACAAAATTAAATTAATAACAACTGAAATTGCCTTTTAATTTTTCTTAGGATGCAAAGTCTCACCAGTCCTGACTCAGGCTAATGGTCCTTCCTCACAAGCACAGACCAATAAAGAAGCATCTTCCCTCTGCTCCTGTTCTCACAAAAAGATGGCTGTGTAAACCTGGAAGAATGACTGCAGGTTATATTAGCCAGGAAAACAGTCACAAACCAAAAGAAAAATATGGTTCAGACACAAATCAAATATGCAATAACATGTTATGAATTTTGTTTTCTTTTGGGAGTAGTTTATGGGAAATATTCATTAGGAAACAGAGGCTGGTAGAAAGCTGAAAGACAGTTCAGTCTGGATGATGAAAACTTTTCCAGATTGTTTGGCATGCAGGTTTTTTGAACTTCAGCTTTCAACAACAGCTCTTTTAGGCTACGTTAACCAGCTGTTACATTTACAATCAGAATTTTGCCCGAAGAGTGATATTTAACAATATTCCAAATTCAGATTGGAGTACTTCTACTGTTTGGCTTCAAATATTAGGTCAGATTCAAGGTAAGATTTTTCCCGTGCAAATACTCATTTCTATTTGTTACCTGTATGACCATATCAAACTTAGAGGCCCTCTCACCTTCACTGTGACCAATTTAAAAGCATGTTAGGAAGAAAGGGAGGAGTCCTAAAGCTGCACTTCTGAAAAATACACAAACCAGATGAAAACAACTTAAAGCCATTAGTATGGTGGGTCCATCCTGCCTAGCACTAAAAATACAGCACCCCCACAGGATATTTCTGGCACGCACCACTCCGGCTGCCTCTTAGCAGTTCAGCAAAGTGAAAGGGGCACATTTGGGGAAATCTTTGGCCTATACAGACACCTGGGGTGGCCTGTGTCATTGGCTCTGGGGCATCTGGTGGAAATGCAATCCATCCTTGTCCCAACCTGATGCCACACAGAGCTGAAGTAACACTATGTCACTAGTTTTAAGCAGGTTTTGCGCTCCTCGCTCCATCTGTGTTCTGTGCACATAAATCACGCCACTTGCTCTGAACAGATTTCTGGAGCGTGGTCGCTATAAACGCTTTGAACGCTGCCAACTGAAGTTAAATAAGATCAATGTTATATATGAAATAAGCATGAAAAATAGAACTACTTAACACACATTTATATATATGTGTGCATGTATGTGTTTATTTTATATATATATATATATTTATATATTTATAGATAAAAAATACATAATCCCCCTACGGTTGTGCTCTTTATGCTCTTGATCTAAACCAACTTCACAGTCTATGTTGCTTTCTCTTCTGAGGCACGGAGTGGAATAAGATATCACTAACAAACACAGAATACATTGTAGATGATTATTTAACTACTAATTCAACATTGATGAAAATTATTTGGACTCTGATCAATTTACTAATGAACAGAACAAAGCTTTATACAGTATCAAAGTACAGAAATGATTTGCATTTCCGAATGCAAAGTTCCTCCATCTCTGACAACAGCTTCATTTTGGAAATGCAGAAGCATCCCATTATTTAATAAATCATCACATCAGTAATTTATCCCATGAAGTACATTCAGTCTACAGCATTTACAAAGCAGCCAGCTGTAGTATTTTCCTAGCACAAGTAGCAGGAAATCATCGGCAAATCACAGCTGTTGTTTTCTGGCCACCCACAACAAATGACCTGATCAACCCTTCAGCTGATACAAATGAGTACTTCACACCATCTGAAGACAGAGCTTCTGGGTCCAAAAAAGGAGAAAGCCCTGATATTACAATATCACAGAAACAACCTGTCTGCAAACATCCTCTTTCCTAATGGTCTGCAGAGCAAGCAGTTTCTCAGTTATCTGCTAGCACACTCTACTTCAACAGCTGCTGATTTCACAGAAGGAAGAGACAGCGTGTTTGGAAAAACACGAGCCTCTCCACCTGGCCTCCCAGGCTGATGGGCTGCCTTTGGACCTCCACCAGCTAATGCAGCGAAAGCAGGCTCTGTCTGTCGGCGCTCCTCATCTCCCAGCACAGACGTACTCCCAGAGCCCCAGCGGCACCACAGCCGCAGCCCCTCTGCCACCTTCCCAGAAAGGGGTCAGCTGGAGGACAATACTTGGAATGGCAATGCTTAGAAATTCAGGCTTTAATGTTCTCCAGGAAAAAAAAAAAAGTGATGACTGCCTCAAAATTTTGGTATAGCAGAGGTTTGGGAAAGTTGCTTTAAAAGCATATTTCAAACAAAGTTGCAAAAAGCATATTTCAAACAAAGTTGCAAAAAGCATATTTCAAACAAAGTTGCAAAAAGCATATTTCAAACAAAGTTGCAACTTACATGCAAAAGTTAGGCACCCTGTAAAAAAATAAAGTTGCCTCAGAGATACTTTTAACATAAACTACAGCTTCCTGCCAGATTTTCTTAAAAATGACTTCAGCATTTGAAATCATTATTTGCAAAGAGTTTTATGCAGATGAATAAATGTAAAGGCTTTTTTTGGTGGGTTCTTTGATTAGTCCACTGAAACATAACAGACCAGGACACTAAAAAGCTTATCTCATTGACACTATTCAAAAAATAATTTAAACTTAAATTTGGTTGTTCATTTTGATGACTAATTACATCATAATTTACTTTTGATTATAGCCAATTATCTTCTTTAATATTACCTCTAGAGTCAGCATATTGCACTGGAAACAAATATGAACGCTTCATCTATAAACTTTTTACTTTTAATCTAGCTTTGTCCTATTATTGTAATAACTTTGTATTACTGTTGCCGTATGTAGATTTTAGCCTACTAGAACATGACAGAAAAATCTAACTGGGAGATGCTTTGTTTCAGAGGAGTATTATCTTCAGCAGCACAACACCGCACAGCCACCTCTGGCTGTGCCGTGCTGAATCTTGATGGCGCTTGTCATCTGTTGCTGTAGCTGTTTGTATCCGCAGCCAAAAATTCAACATCCTTTTGGTCTAATTTTCCCGTGATGGAATAAGCTATTGCTCCATTTGTCCAGACGTGCTGTTTAGTGTTAGAATTACTGGTAAGTGACTGCAAATGTGTTCTTTTGATTCTCTTTGCTAGTCTTGCAAAGCACAATAACGTTGAACTAAACATCATAGAAAATCCGCACAAGAGGAACGATGCAGTATAGCTGCCAGTTGTATCCACAAGCCAACCTACAGAGAAGAAAAAATGTTTTTTTCAAGTTTCTAGATTTCTGATAATTTACAAATTCTGTGATCAGCAGCACTACAGCAGTTTTACCACATATCAGTACAATTAAACAATATCTATACACATAGCTGTCACTACACCTCGGTGGGTGGAGGGAGAAGGAATTTGACTTTAACATCAGCAGGCAGATAAGGTTTTTATGGGCTTCTTTTCAGAGGTCAAATCAATGAGAAAAGGCACAGCAGTCATTACTACAGCACTAAACAAACATCTTTCATATGCACTGATTTAACTGTCAGTTCTGAGATATGCTTAGGCAGCCCTAGGATTAAATATTGTGTGCGTGAGATCCTCATACAGAAACATTTAAGCAAGTCATGCCCTAGGCTCATGCATTATTTAGAAGTATTCCATTTTGCAGCATTTTTGCTATGGCAAAGGTAAATGAAAAACATTAGAAGCAGGGATTAATTGGAAGCAAATAAAATATGCAAGACACATACACACGCACATATATATATGGCCTTTTTAAAAAGAATTCTGACCTTCCACAATGCTCAAAATTGTGTAAGATCTTTTTACTCATCATTACTTCATTAGAATGACACTGACAGGAAAAATGATGTTTGGACATTAGAGCGATGAGAGCTGCATAAGAGCAAATAGTAGTAAACTTGACTAACCCATCTGTTCAAAGCATTTCAGAAACGAAAAGAGTAAGTCCTCTGGACTAAAAAAAAAAAAAAACTTAGAAAGAAACTCTTCTTTGGTCACATTTTCAAAATCAAGCAAAGCATCTTTTATTTTCCCCACCCACACAATTTCTGCTCTTAGGAGGCCCATTCCATAGTCTTTCTTTGAATTGCAGATTGCTCTATGTGTAGAAATCACCCCATGAAGACAGTACTTAACTGGAATCTAAAGTCTGGCAAAAGGTATAGGGGTATTATTTCTCTGCTTAGGGGCTATCTTCACATTCAGTGTGCGTGTGCGTTTGCTGTCCTTTCTCTCCTATTACATCACACCAAAGCCCACCTACAATCCTCCGTGGGAGACTAAAAAAAAGAAATGACAAGGTGCTCAGCATCTTCTCCCCAGTCCAGTAAACCCAGCAGAGGAAGATCAGTCTGACCAGTTCAAAGGAAAAATATTGAGACCATAAATAATTTATCCAAAATGTTGTGAAAATGCATAGCTTGAAAACCAAAGCTACAATACAGTATTTACTCTTAGCCACCAATCTCTTCATCTCAGCGTCAATACAGAGAGGGGCGGACAACTTTTGTTTGTGTTTTAAGAGGGCTAGATAGCCTTCTTTTCTTGCAAATTTTTGCTAATCCTGCTAAGATGGGGCAATGAAGCACATAACAACATGTAGTGCTACCTATATTCAATGGGCCTCCTTCTACTCATGTCAGACATTTTGCTAAGGAGAGTACCTAGCTGGAGGCAGTGCTTGGTGCCCACTCCTGATGGCTCTGTCCTCCCCTTCTCTGGAGACACAGAAATAAAGATGCAGGAGAGCAGCCCTGAGCCAAATGGCCAGATCCCTTCCATGGCAGTGAGGAGATCGTATGGGGAAGCCCTGACTCCACCAAGCACACATCCGGGCTTAGCCTGCCCTGCACTTTCACCCCTCGCTACACACATTTCTGCAGAAAGAGGACGCTCCATTAGAAGGTAAATATGAGACACTCAAAATTTTCCATGGCTTTAATTTTCCCAAACACTATAATCAAAATGTAAAACAGTCATTAAAAGTGGTAATAAAGCGTTCAATGTGACACTGATATCCTTTTTTGACCAGTTCTAGACTAAATGCTGGACTCTTCTGCTTTGATCCATAGGTAAATCTGGAGTAGCAATAAGACTATAGGAAAGTCATTTGTGAACTGACCTGCAACAGGTGGGCTCACTAGATACGGTATGGCATGCAGAAAATACACGACACCCAGTGCTGATGATAAGGAAGAAGTTCCCACTACATCTGCTGTCACAACAGGGATCAGCGTTACATAGGCTCCATCAAAGTAGCCAAAGGTAAATGAAAAAGGCACAAGCAAGGGGAAGTTTTGGAGAACTGGCAGGAAAAGACAACAGAGGCCATCCATTCCCACTGCAAAGAGGTAGCAAAAGTGCCGATACTTCTTCAGACACCTGCAAATTTCAAAATAGGAAGGAATAAGAATAGCATTGGATACAGCATCTCAGTTGCTGTGCTCTGACATGTAGCGTTTCAGCCTCTATCTTTTTTATATTGCTCAAATTTAAGTCCAATTTCATACACAAACTCTTCAAAATGAAAAGCTAAACCACCAGTGAGCCCAGCTAGGGAAAGCTGGCCATCTGCAGCTGAAGAAATATTCTGGAAAGCAACACCAGAAGCTGCACATGCTGCTCTTATAGTTGCCCCTGGTAAGAGAAGCAGCTCACCTTCCAGGATTTTGCAGCCCTTCAATCTGTTCTCGAGCTTCAGTTTTCAAAGCAATACTCCACTGGAATTTACATTTCAGCTCAGTAACTCTCTTAGCTGTTGTGCTTCACGTTACCCCTTAAACACTGGAGTTAGCGTGAGGTAAGTGAGATGGCAGTTCCCCTTCTCCCTACCCCACAAAACAAACGATTAATTTTTCCTATAAACTGAATAAGCAGAAAGAATAATGTGTCCTTTGGAATCAAGATACTTCTTAGCTCAACCAGTCTTCAGTGATGTTAAAGCTACTGCCCATCTCTGCATATCAATGGTTGGAATGAGCTGGCTTAGCAAAGGAGCCAGTCCTCATACACTGGAAAATGTTTAATGACTTTAGGTCAGTCCTTCTGAGCAGATACATGACAATGGTGGGCCAGACCCTTGTTCCTTTTCCATCACTTCTGCGCCTCCCCAGCAGCACAAAAGAGACAGAGAGGCAGGAGAAGTAGACTGATATCTACAGAATAGGTATAGAGGCTCAAGTTCAGTATACCTTTTGCGGTGGGTTACATTTCCATTATTGAACTCAAGAGTTTTGCACAAAAATTTCATTTCTTAGGGAAAAATAAACTAGCAGAAATTCAATAAAATCAGGAAAGACAAAACCATCAAACAGTAAGCATTTCTAAAAGTTAGACCATCTGCTGGTTTGTTGGAAAAGTTAATGCATACTACAGACAACCCATCCATAATGTTAACTTATCACAACGTTAACTTTTACATGTATTACACTTCACTTGTATCCAGCCTCCCACCAGCTAAAGCTTACATTTCTTTAGCCATAAGCCATTACCTTCTGTCTGTTAGCCATCCAAAGGTGATATTACCAACAATATCAATGACACCAAGTATGGACATGAGGAAGGCAGCTTGGTGATGACTCACTCCAACACTCAAAGCATAAGGCACTAAGTAGACAAAGAGAGGGCTACAGCCATAGGCCATAAATAAAACTGACACTGCCAGCACCGTGAAGCCTGGCATCAGTAAAAAGTCATACTCCTTCCATGAGCAGTAGCATAAACATTCATGGGACCATGCTTTGATTAAAGGTGAACAGATGGACATTTGCTTTAAGTCTTGTTTCTGTGCCTCAGGGACATAATCCTGCTCAAGAAACTCTGGAGCAGTTTTACGGTCCTCCTTAAGAGCAATAGGCCGCATCAAGGCACCACAGACACAGAGGTTTAAAACAAAACCTCCCAGGATGAGTAATGCTCCACGCCAGGAAAACTGCTCAATTAAAAGCTGGACCACTGGGGCCAGGATGAAGGTACCAATTCCACTTCCTGACATGGCTATTCCATAAGCCAGTGCTTTTCTTCTGTTGAAATATTTGCCCACCATTGCAATGGCTGGAGAATAACAGAGTGCAAACCCAAGTCCTAGAAAAGAAAGCATAATGCAGATGGCTTAGCACTGAGCATGACACATGGAACACATTAACTTAAACCACATAGCCTACTTTCATTAGCACAGATGATCAGGCCAGTGACAGTGTGAAAAGAAACCAGGATGACTCCTTTCTTCCACTGTCAGTGTCACTAACTTGACAAATCTAACAGATCATCATTAATCTACAGTAACAAGACTCAGTAAGGAGTGATGGGTTCCTTTGATAACAAGCACAAGGACTATCAAGAAACATCAGTAAAACTATATGCCAGCCTCTACTGGATGAGATCTTAGCCCAGGGCCTGTGCAGAAAATGGCACTGGGCACTCAAGCCTGATGAGGCACTGCTTTGCGTTCAGGCTGTTGCAAACCTGTCCATTAATTTTTAGGTCTCTGAAACACAGTGTAAGGAGTCTGTCTCTATTACTATATGTTCTACAATAAACCTTTTTTAGTCAGATAAACAAAGTCCACATAGCAGCTGATCAGAATCCCAACCATTTCTAAATCCCTATGTACAAGTAAAGAGGGAAAAAAAAAAAGCCTCAGAAGGCAAAACCCTGTCCAATTTAGTAAATAAATAAGATCTATCTCTTGAGACTGGGAAAAAAAGGCATGGCTTCTGCTGAAGAAACCAGAATGCAGACCTTAATCATCAAATGGTTGTCCTAACGCTGAAATATACATTTCTGAATCAGACACAGAAACAAGTTCCTGACTGGGGATTTGGAGCATGTCTGACATTTAAGTTAAAACTGTCCCCATTGCTTTTGGCAGAAATTACCAGCAGCAGACATAATCACCTGGAGCCGTGACAGGCTTGCAATGTTCTCCTGAAAGGCCTCACTGTGTCCGGCACTCACTAAGCCTTCTAGTACAGACTAAGGGGATTTCACTGACTCAGTGTGACAGTCGCCTGCTCTGGCACTTGTCAGGAAGTGAGAGGAGGAACCGGGCAGAGATACCTTGGGTTGGACCTGTTGGGGCAACACAGCCTGAGGAGAAGCTCTGTGCTACACATCACCACTCAGGAGCTGTGAAAGCTATCTTTTTCCCCCCCCCCCCCCCCCCCAAACTGAGTTGGCAGGGGGAAATAAGTCCCAAAAAGCCAATAACTGCCCTGTGAAAAGTAAATGGAAAATTTGGGACTGCAAACATATTCATACTTCTCAGAAGGAACCTCTGCTACTTATTGCCAGTCCCCCACCTCCTCTCTGCTTCATTCTTCAGTTTTAAGTCCTGCTGCTTTTATGGATCTAGACCTTAGATGTTGCCAGCTCCTCTCTGGGTCAGTTACAGGGGGGCTCTTGGTGCATCAGCACCAACCATTACCATGAGGTTTTTTCCTACCTTTATCAGTCCTTACAGACTAAAAGTTCACTGCTTATAGAATGGGCTCTTCACAACTCCATGTACAAAGTGCAACTGCTTTCCTACCTCAATATTCATAGTGGTTCTCATAAAGGAAGCCTCAACCGCATTCAAATAGTATGCGATATGGTCCTTTGGGTTACAGGGCGCCTTTTTATTTGCTACAAACACATTTGTCAAAGATTAACATTGTAATGCAGGAGCAACCTGCGCCACAATAAGGATTTTTTTTCTTAACAAATAAGCCCTTGGCAGCATGTGAACAGCAATAATCACACCAACTTGTTACCAAACAGCAGGGGACCAAGTACAAGGGCTTATATCACCGTGGCTACCAGGTCAGTATTAATAAGTAAGGAATGTCACTGTAACCACCAGCCCTTCTTAAGTTCTTGGGTGTACAGCAAAAAGACTGGACAGAGCACATCATAACGTAAAGGGACAAACAGCTACAGCAACATAATCAACCAGGAATTTGTTCGCTTTTAAAATGGAACGTGATACAGATAAACATCTGTCAGTGTGTCACTGAGGTGCGAGGTATTCACTCAGTCATCTCTGCCCATTCACTCATTTGTTTTTATTTAACATTTTTTAATATGCAAATATTTTGGGGCACTCAAACTTCTTCCGCAACAAACCCCTCCCAAATCACAAGCAAAAAGGAAATCTGTTTGTGCACCATCTGCAACAGAAGTCCCCCTTGCCATCTCATCATTTCAGAAGGTTATCAATAGTCCCCTCTCAACAGATATTGAAGAGTTGCTTTTGCAGCATGCTAACGTTGGGCTGTTGTTGACTCATCGAGTGCTGAAGCCCTCACAAGGGCAGCCAAAAGCTCTGTTTTATAATGAAGATAATAAGTCTGAGCATCTCTACAGACCAGTGCTTTGGCATTGTGAAATGGCAAAAGAGATTATCCCTCTTTAATGGGACGACCATCATTTTCAACAATCCTGCATCGCTTTCCTGACTGGAACAAATCAGATGAATGCCTCCTACCTGTAAGGACTCCTAATGATAAATAGAGATGTTCCAGGCTGGTGGCAAATGAACTCAGAATTAGTCCAGTAGATGCAAGCAGCCCTCCTAGCATGATACCAACTTGGCAGGACACATGATTACTGATCAGACTCCCAAGCGGGGCTTCAAAAAAAAAATAAATAAAGCTGTTAATTAATGACAGGTCTTCATACACAGTTCACTACTATGATGATCATAAAGGAAGAGGAAGCAGTGGGCAAACAGAAGAAAATGGTGATGACAGCTACACCAAGTGGTGTTCCAACATCCCATCTATCATAACTGTGTGAACACCAAAAACCTTCTGAAAATTATTTTCCTGAAAGTCAGGGTAAAACTGATATTTACAGTAGCTTTCTCAGTAGAATTACAGTAACAGATCTAAATCATTATGAAACACAGCTATTTTGCAGTTTTTTGGAGTCAAGAGAGGCCACAGCCACAACCAGACATGGCTCATTATTCCACACTTACAACTGGAGAGACCTCTCCCCTCCTGCAGTTTGCCCTTCAGCTCTCAGTAGCTTGCAGGTGTCCTTCATGCAGCCTCATTCCTCCGCAGCCATGCACGCTCCACGTCCCGCTCGTATGAGAGAAATCTCACATCTTTTGGAACCATTCCCAGGAGGCCTCTAATCCTTTCCTGCATTTCTCCAAAGGTGATGGTTACCAGATCACTCTGCCTCTGCCCTGGGATGTCACCACTCACTCTCTTCCTCTCTGCCAACTGGAATGCCAGGGCAAGGCTACCCTTGTAACTCTTCTCTGAGATAAAACCTGGCTGATGCAGGAGAGTGGCTATGTCTCATTCCAGCTGTGTCTGCCTTCTTTGCAAGCCCTGTACCTTCACTGCAATTCTCATGGACTAACCCTCTACCACAGGATTAGGGCCTGGATTTTCACATAATTGTCTAGCTTTGAAATACACCCAGGAGAAAGTTAGGAAAATTGCAGTATTGATGTATGTCATTTTAGTAGCACAGACTTTTCTTTTAAGGGAAAAGGATCTTTGTACACACAAGTTTACTAAAATTAGGATGGCTGTGACTTGATCTGAAGGAAAGAACACTGTGTTAATTCTGAAATATGCTTCCAATCAATTAGAAAAAAAACAAGTGTTCATTTAGTAGTTCTCAAACATGACTTGTCCCATTAGACCTTGTCAAAAGCACATTTCTGAAAACTTACATCACTTGACAAAACAAAGTTCTGTTTCTTTTCAGTAGTACAAAGATCTTTCCTTCCTGCCCAACTATGCTGGGGGGAGCAGTTTGGCTAAACCATACCCAAGAGAACCTACAGCCACAATCTTCCCCGACCAACTCCACCGGCTAGTGGATGCACTAAAACCAGATGTCCCATTGAACTGGGGAACAAGCAGGCACACTGGTCTTAAAAGAGAAATACACACCACAGAGCATTGTGGCACAGTCTACAATGGAATGGATCCAAGCTGTTCTGGCGTAATCCTGACCAAAGTATGCCTGGAACTCCACAAAAAAAATGGAGATGCACCTAGGAAAGAAAACACAAACACCAATCTGTTAAACATGGGGCAATTGACAAGCAGAAAACATTAGTCTCACTATTCAAGGAAAAAAGACAACCTGCCTGAAGGTCCTTTCCAGCTGCTGAGAAAAATCAGATCTGTGGACTGAAATGGAGAAATCTTTAAATAATTGTCAAGAAGAACTGGAAATGGAGGACTGCCTTGACGCATAAGAAACAAGACATATGAAATGGGGTTCTGTGATTCTGTGACAAGTGGTGCAAGTTGAGTAATTACAACAGCACTTTATGTAAAGAGGTTAGGCTAGTATGATTCAATGAGAGAAGAATCCTTGCTTTGCATTGACAACAACTGGATCTCAAAATAGTGTCTAAGTAATAGCCCAATAGTGGGATTAGACAGATTAGGCTGATTTAGAACCTATTTTAGACAGATCAAGCTAATAGAGAGAGATTATGAACATTAACAGCAAGTTTCTCACTATGGTATCTGACGCTAGATTCTTACAACTTTTTTTTCTTTTAAATTGAAACAAAATTGAAGTGTGTAATTATCACCAGCTGTTTCTTTCCTACATTATGACGTTGCTTCTCTGGTACCCAAAGCTCCAGCTCCTGTTCTTAACCGATCATGCCATGCAATGGTGGCATTCACACCTGTGCAAACCACAGGGACAGGGCCACCACAGCACCTATAGAACCAATACCACCTATAGCTATGTATGAATGGGTGCACAAGTCCAAAACAGTGGGAAATTAAAAGCACTACCTCATGAACAGAGACACAAAACATGGCAGGAGCCTATGGACCTTCTAACAGTTTTATGCAAATACTTTCAGGAGAAGTTACTTTCCTCTGCTAACAAGTATTACTGTTCTGCCTGTCTCTGCAGGGGAGTAGATTAGAAGTCTGCACACTTTCAATCTAGTTTCTGAATAAGCAGAAGAGCCCCCTGTTCCACTCTCTTCCTCCTCCTGCAAATCAAAGGTCACTGTCTTCAGCTCTACTCTTGCATGCATGCACTCTTGAAGTGTGCCATCCATTAGATGATTTCATGGCTGTAACGTATTTCATATGTGAAAAGGGAAAGAAATCCACTAAGAAATCTCTGTTGTTATTATGGAGTTGGTATGTTTGCAGTAGATAAACTACCACTGTGTTAACATTTGCAAGTCCCATTTATGACTGTTTATTCCAAGATCTTAGACTTTAGATCCCTAAATCTGGCAGATTTATTTTAAAATAAATAAGTAATTTAAGTAGGAAACACTATATTTATATTGACTGTCAAACAAGATACTGTCTCCATGCCCCACACTTACCAGGGTGCCTATCTCTCTCTGCTTAATATAGCTTAAAGGTCTGTGTTCATTCCCATCAGCCTCCTTGGTGTCCAGTTGACAAATAAAGTCCCCCAACACCAGCTACGGAAGCCATATTGCCCCAAATGTATATACTGTGTTTATGCAAGACAGAAGTCTATTCCTGTTCTTTCTAAGAAATACAGGAAACATTTCCCGCATGTTTAGGATACCAGAAGCAAACACAGAGAGGAGCCTCTCTAGGTCATTGACCCTCTCAGGCTGGACAGTACCTGAAACACTTATAGTAGGGGAGGGGATTATTTACAGATTTCTCAGACAGACTTGGGAACCAAGCAAATCCTCTCGAACTGGTAAAAATGACCACTGCTGTAGGATGAAAGGGGCACAGTGGACCTGAAGAGACCCTAAATGATTCCTCCCTCCCCTACCAAACCACTACAGCCTTAAGTAACACTGGCTGGTTGAGATTTTGATTCTGCAAAAAAAAAAATCAGTAAGAGGCTATTGAGAGACACAACAGCTGTCAGACCAGGCAAAACTAAAACTAGAGGGCTCTTAATCCCTTCGCTGTCCCCACACCCTTGCAGATTTCAGGAAGCCTTTAAAAAACATAGCAAAAGTGAGGTATGTATCTAGCCACACTCAACCCCTTCAGCTGTGGACCCCTGGGAGAGATCTCAAATATATTCCTTTCCATAAAGGCAAAAGAGTAACACCAGAACGGGTTAGAAAGACAAGAAATCACTTTACCTTGTCACAGCCCTGGTACAGATGGTGACAAGAAAACAACCAGCAACAATCATCCATCCCCAGCCGCCATCGGGAGGTGATGCGTGCAGAGCCCTCCGCGGCGATGCCATAGCGCTGGGGCCAGTCCTCCCTCTTCCCTTGCTCACTGGAAGGGGTTGATGCTAGCCAACATGCTGAGCACGCATAGGGGGTTACCTGGTGCATGGGTTATTTGCCATCTGAAGAAAGAGCGAGAGAAAAAGAAAAGGCAGAGAGGGAAGCAGGGTACATTGCAAACAGTGTAAAACTGCACTGTTAAGCTAGAAAATACTGCTTTGGTCTTATCATATAAAAGTGAGGATTTTCTTTTAAACACAGTTCATCAAAATTTCTTAGATGCAAGACTGTGTCATCAAAATCTGGTCCAGTTTCTGGCATGATTTATTCCAAAGTAATTTTCCCAGCAGTTATGTCCTAGCACAATAGCCTTTTTCCCCACAAATGTGGTGGAGCATACATTTAAGTCACATGCTTTACTGGTACCAATCACTGCAGCTCCTTTAACTTCAGTGGGGCTCCCCCAAATCATACTAGTCCCTGGCTTGAATTTTATTTTGAGTTGCGAAGAATATCCCTTAGAAATACCTATACTTCCTTGTATGCAGCTTAGTGCAAAATTCCTGTTTAGGGGAATACAATTTTCCCCTTTGTATGAGAGTGAATATTCCCTGCAAAATTAGAGCAGAGCTGCACATCCACTGTGGGAATGGAAACCACCTCATTATTCTTACAAGCAAAACCCTAAATAAAGTCTGTAATCAGGCAGAACGTGGTGACTTCAGTTTCTGGGCACGGACAATTCACTGAAGGTTAGCGCTGTCCCCCCCCTTCCATCTATTTAAAGCCAATCAAAGCAGCATCTGCATCCAGGCCATACCACAACATGAGCTCCAAATGCAAGCAGAGTGGTGCAGGCACCCCCAGGAGACCAAATCACATCCACTAGGCCCTATATGAGGACCTGTCGCACATGTTTGAGTAGCTCCACTAATCGCATCATGGTCACCAATGGGATGGGACTGATGTTCCTTATTCCTTCCTGCATCAGCCGCTGCAAGGTAGGTTAGCCTGAGGGATCCAAGACGCTCTGATTTGCTCCATCCAAGAACATGCAGTGCTGACTACGACTGTTAGGTTTTGGACCATGTTTTAGCCATCATTAGAGGGTACCCATCCCCTGAATGAAGCAAATATTTATGAAAAATAAGCAAACTTATGTCTTTCAATTTTGCTTGCAGAAAAACCTAAAATAGCCTCTACATTACATAATATAACAGATGCTGAACATGAAAAATTCCCACTGACAAGAACCACAGACTCCCCAGGAAACGTTACCTGTTACAGCATATTAGAGGAGTGCAGAGCTACACAAAAGTGCAACTCAAGGAAGCAGGTGCATTGGCTCATAACACGCCTTTGCAGTTCCCAAAGCTGCTCCGTCAGGTGCTGCTCAGGGCTTGACTTTACAAAGTCTGGAGCTCCCTGGGCCAATCCAGCAAAGCACCCCAATGCTAACCTCGAAATCACTACAGGAGCACCTTTGAGAAGTATTCATCGGCTGCATCACAAAAACATTACACAATTATTTTAAGAAACCATATACATATTGCCAAACTTACAAGTGAACAAAGTAGGAGAAAATAGGAAGAACAACAGCAACAAAAGAACCACCTTTGAAAGCTTAACTTCGTATTTGTTAGGCTGTAAATTATAGCCTGTAACAACACTGTACAAGAAGATCAGTGGACTCTTTTAAAAAGGGTTTTGTAGTCTTTTGATTTAAAAAGGATAAGAAGCATTATCCCAATTTACCTGCTTGGCTTTCAAAGCCTGAGCATTACAGCTTATCATACAGGCTGCAAATCAAGCCCTATATACTAAAGCACGTCAGTGCATAAATGTTAAACCAGAAAAACCAAGTAGTGTGGTCAAAGACAGAAGGTAAGTCCAAAAGGCAATTACCATGCTGTAGCGTGAGGCACCTGAACTGCTAACCGAAGAAAAACAGTGAAGAGAACTATTTGTAACCTCACAACAAAGCGTGTGCTTGCCAACACTTTCAGTCAGTGATTTAAGATAAGTATGTTTGAAATAATATCCTTGAGAAATACTCACAAAAGATGCCAAAGCTATAAAATACTGGCATCCAGTTCCACAGATTAACGAAGCTACCATGGAACATCTATTCCAGTTCTCTGTATGTACCTCAAGTACCATTTATTACCGCTTATGCGCTAGTCAGCTGGTTAGGTGTCGCTCATTTTACTTAAGGCCAGAAATACTGTATACTCTTTGGAAAGAAAAATTACTGTCCTATTTTCTCTCTTTGGTGTAATAGGCTTTGCTGATATTTATTGATTAGTAAATATTTTTATAAAGCTTTTTAATGATTCAGAGCCCTAAGCTAAGCCCACTATAAGCATTAGAATATGTACTAACGCAGTCTATTATTCTCTTCTCCTCCATTGTCACAAACATCTGTTTCATCTTAATTTAAACTTTTTAGAAACACTTTCCAGGATCTGTATTATCCTCTGTGTTTACGGAGCCTAGCACAATAGGTATCTTCCCTGAAGCTTGCAATGAGTACTATTACAACGTAACATGTACTAATGAATTAGAAGAGAGCTCAGGTATGATAAAGAATACCTCTAATAACCTGTTTTACTTGTCACTTCCATGACTCTGAATAGATACACATTGCACAATATGTCACTGCTTATAGAAAGAATAGGCCGCATCTAAAACAGGCCATCTGATACAGCTACAGTTTGGATTATACAGCAATGGTCATAGGAGCTCACAAAGATCAAACAAGAATTCACGGCTGGGATTATTAGAGCTTTTGTAAGCAGCCACCTAGTACCTCAGTTGTAAATGCTCCTAAGTGAGTTTAAAGGGCCCAAGCTGAATGCAGTCTTTACAAGTTCATTCCTGCAACTGATTAGGAAAAAAAACACAAAGCAACTGAGATACAACCGAGTTTACAATTTCAAATCTTATCTTCAAAGTACTAAAATGCTAGGGTTCAAGTTATCTAAGAGATCAATGAAAGCTCTGGAACAAAGACCAGGACTGACAGATTTGCTTTTCTGATACAACTTTTAAAATATGGTACAACTTACTAAAAGACGGTACAACCCATGCAGCTGATAGAGCTTTCTAGGCAGCCTCAGCAAGCACCCACATGAACCAAAGAACATCACTGGCTTCCCCAGAAGCCTTGCAACTCTCTGCTTGAAGTATACAGTTTATTTTTTCATCTTACCTATTTACTTGAGGATAAATGCACAGCAACACATGGACCAGTGTGTACCCACACTTCCCTTCCCCAAAACGTTCTGAAACAAAGTCTCCAACATACACACACTCTTCCCTTGTGAAGGTGTAAAGACAAACAGATCAAAAGCGGTAAAATAGATTGGCTAACCTGATAAGATAAGGCGGCATGTGCGTAGGCAATAAATATAGAATTATTCAGGAAATCTATGTTAAAAGATCATTATGGAGGTTGAAAATACATGCAGCCAAAAGTTACAGAATACCAAGCACATGACAGAGGAGACACGTACATGGACTTGCCATTTGATTACTTACATTCTCTATTTGCCTTCCAGCATGTACTGCAGATTTGTGAGTACACCATACATCTTGCCATTTGTTGAATCCATATGGCAGACAATTTTGTAGGGTTCATGTTACATGTGGACTAAGTTGACATGAACTAATGAATGATTCTTTATTTTTAACAGATAGTGGCAATTATACATCCCTTGCTCCAATACATCTATTGCTCCAAGCAATAACTGTCCTATTGAATATGTGCAAATATTAGATTGACCAGTTATCTGATGACTAAGGCTGTGGTTACATGATTTTTCATTCTGGATCAGTGTCTTTTGGCATCCTGACAATTTTATTCTGAGGTTAGAAATTTTCATTTGTTTACAACCTTGATGCTGTTTTCAAATTATGGTGTACTGTGGATAGTACAGATTGTGGCCTCTGCAAATGAAGCCACCAAATGGCCAGAAAGCACACCCCTTGTCTGAGCAGCAGTGTCCTTCCCTTCCCAAGCCTACCCTGGTCTGCTCCCTTACGTTGCATCCTTCCTGACGCTTTCTGGTGCGAGGTAAAATTTCCATTACGAATCCGTTCAACCTTCAGCCCAGTAAGGCCTGATCCCAACTGGCAGTACTGGTTGCTACTACAACACATCTCATATATACACAAAAGTTCCTGCTGCTTGACCTGGCTGAAGCAAAGCAGGGTTAAAAGAAAAGCTCATGGAAGAGCTCTGTACCTCACAACCTTTGTTAGATAATTTTCACTCAAGCATTAAATAAATATGCCTTAGAGTGAGTTCGTAGAAGATGGCAGTAGAGCGAAGGTGGCAACAAATTCTGCTGATACCTAAGAAAAACCTCAGTTACCCAGTGCGCCCTGAAAGAGCTACCAGTTAGTGAGCTGGTTCCCAAGCTAATACATTAGGTTCTGATTCGGCAGGATAAATAATGCTACTTCAGCAGCTGTGTTCAAGAACCCTGGAAAGAAAACTGCTCCTAAGAGCACCTACCTGCCTCACTCAGCCAGCACAAAGGAGCAGCTGAAGCTGCTAAAAAGATTCTGCCTTAACGTTGCTCCTCATCACAAGATCCCTTTTGCTAGGGAAAGGAGCACAGAAATCCGCTGCAGCCTAGCAACTGCGCTGCACAGAGGACACGAGCCACTGACCTTTTTAAAACGTGGCATGCAGCCAATAAAGCACTAACTGCCCCTTTGCCTGTCTGTCCTTCCATTGTGAAGATTTTCTTCTTTAAAAAAATTGATTCAATAATGATTTCACAGCAGTGTGAAGTGCAGATGTGAATCTTTTCAGTGAAGAAGCCTCACCGCACTGAAGGAGACCAGATATATTTGCTTTTGACTGTTTGGAGTCCTGGGGGGTTGATTTTTCCTGTCCTATTTGGCTGCTCAATTTACAGCACTGATGTACCTGGGCATCATCATGTCACGAAATGCTACCTAGCCTGCTGCACAGTTTAAGTGCTTTTTAAAAATACTCAGTCCGTAGTAGAAGACTTTAGATAGAAAAAACAAATACAGGGCCAGATCTGCATCACAGCTGCCCAGGAGCAGGAGTGAACAGCCCCTGGACTGACACCAGCTCTTAGCCCAGCTGCTTTCCACTTCATCCCACTACCCTGGCTACATACAGGTAATCTTAAAGTGGCTGTGCGTTAAGATGCCTTTGCAATTCCTTCCAGAGCTGTGTAAAAGGATTTTGTGTAGTTTAGTTTAGTCCAAAGGAGTAAGCATAAATACGTAACAGCATAAATGAGCAAAGAATTCAACACTTATATTTACCTAATAAATAATAGAGAAACATGCACGAACTAAGAATGAGGAGGAGACTGACTTAGACAATTTTCCTTCTGGATCAATGTAAGATTTAAATATATAAATATATAAATATACACTGTACATGCTATTTGCTGTGAGGATGGGTTGAGCTAAACTTGAGAAACTCATGACAGTCTCTGTATCCGGAAGGCCACAACACACTCCTGGAACAGGTTCATTCACACATTTTAATACAAATTCCACTTCTTGTGATCAAGAACATACACAGCTTTGAAAGTCACTTAAGGAAGATTCATGCAGATGAATGATCACAAAGAACAAGCATAAGGCAGCATAATAGCTGCAGAATATTCATTAATGTCACAGTGAAAGGCTAACGGAATTGTATGTATTTACTACATTTACCCTATTCACCTAGCTCTAGGATGGTTTTACTGTCTTCCTCACTCTGCTTTTCCTTAAGATTTTTCTGACCAAGCATTAACTATTTGTAGGCATTTGCTATATTATTCACATTAACCTCTTGGTTGAAACCTCTCTTGTTTTTTGTTCCCTTTTCTCTAACTGCTGAATATTTAATAAGATACAGAAGAACTATAACCACAGAAAGAACAAAGGGGGCACAGAATGAGTAGCAAAGGATAGAAGAGGGAGGGAGAAAGAAGGAGAAAAAAGAGAAAAAAAAGATGTTAGAGAACAGAGAAACATGGTATGTGTCATGTGACAGTGGATCATAGGACATGCATGCAATTAAATGTTTAATGTGTCTTGAAAGAGTTAGTTTCTTTAGGGGGTCTTGAGGGACCAAGGATGAACCTTATCTCTGCAGTACAGAAATAAGCTTAAACCAAGCAGCACGTTAAAGGGAAAACAAAAAATTGACTGAGCATGAAATAACCACTACCATCTTGTCATGGGTTTCTCTAATTCCAGGCTATCAGAGATCTTTCTTCTCCACTAAAGAGTGTCCTTTTCAGAGGCTTGCTAGCCCCTTTAAGTAATTTTCCATGTCGTCAAATATGGTAGTGGACATCTTCACATTTTTATCTTTAAATGGGACATTTGATATCTGATATGAAAACTAAAGATGCTGACAGTGGCAGGAGCTTCTATCAACTGGATTATTAGGAAACAGCACTTTTCCTGCCCCCTTTTACTTTATTTCTCTGGCACTGGCATACCATGGTAGGCATTACAATCAGCAGTCTGGCAGCCAGCTAAATTCTAAGTTGCTCTTTAATACATGGAAAGTAAATTATTTATTTCTGTACAGCTCTTGGGATTCAAAGGCTATTTCTAATGTATTTTCTCCACTAAAGAAATGAGCTGTCCCATTCTGCACCCTGGGTGAGCTATTTAACTGAAAAGGAACAGCTTGTTTTTATTTCACTGGAGGCTATTTATCAAGAATCCTATGATTATGACTTTGACTTATTCAAAAACGACCCAAGAGGTTCTTTCCAACTCTACATTCCTATATAAAAATAACTCCATTAAGCACCTTAAGGCTGCTGCCCTATAACCTAAGCTTTCTTCTCTGTTTAAAGACGTCTCTGTCCATTTCTATGTAAAACCAAAAGTTTATGCTTTTCTGAGGAGACTGGTGTACATGCAGCACGTTAGACTGGCCCACTAACTGTACCCTTTTGTGATACAGTAATTTTGAGGATGATGCCTACCTGGATAAGCAGGGTGTACATTCAGCTTCAGGAAAAATATAAATCCATATATATGCATAAACCCAGTATTTCTCCAGTAGCGCTACAAACAGTTAACAAAAAGAACCACTTACCTGAAAGTTCATTTAGTGAATTGTACTCAAACCAAAATAAACAAACAAATAAATTAAAGAAAAAAAAAATCAACCCAACTTCTAACTGTTACCTATTCCATTGCTATTAAACCGGAAGCTTATTTAGACAGGTTGTAATAAGTGCTCCATTCTTGTTTCAGGTTTTCATCTAAAATACACCTAGATAAATCCGGATATGCTACTCTGCAAAACTTTAATCTCTTTTATATCTTTTAAGGAGGGGCTTCCCTCTGATATCAGATAATAAGTAACATTAACAACTTATTTGTATGCTGGTAGCACAGTACTTCAGGATTTCAAACCAAGAAGTGGGAGTCATTGTGCTAGGCATCGTATAAACGTCTAATAAAACTTGCCCATCATCCAAAATGTATCAAGATAGAGAAGATGAACAGTATGAGAGAGTAGCTTACTAACAGGTCACCAGGGATGCTGGGTGGCAAACGTTCGTCGTTTGCTAAAGTCTGTGTCTACGGGGGAGGTGGCTGTTGAAGAGGACAAATTGGTCATAGCAGATGTGGGAACAGGAAAAACAACGTAGAAAGCAAAGGGATGTTAAAAAGGTAGTAGGAAAGGGAGGTGCCAGAGAAGCCCATGAGACAGTGAGACAGTGCAAAAGAGGGGGGAGGGGAGCTGAAAAAACTCCGTTATCCACAAGAGAAAATACTGCGAGGTGGAACAGACTGTAAAAGTACAGGTTGCAGAATGGCACAGCGTCCAGTAGTCACCTCCCCATTGAGAGCTGTGTCCCGGGGAAAGGAGCAGCCAGGCTGGCCACCCACAGCGCTCATCTGTGGCACCGGCTCCTCTGCTGGGCCAAAGTGTCAGGAATCACAGAATCGTTTAGGTTGGAAGGGACCTCTGGAGATCATCTAGTCCAGCCTCCCTGCTCAAGCAGGGTCACCTAGAGCATATTGCCCAGAATCACATCCAGACGGGTCTTGAACATCTCCAGGGAAGGAGACTCCACTACCTGTCTGGGCAATCACTGAACCAAACAGCACGGCTAGAGGCCACAACAGAAATAAACAGGATAGTCTGCCGGGTCAGAAGCGTTCCGATGAAAAACGTAACGGGAGCTTCCCTTTTCTCTGGAAACCGTTGTAAGGGGCTAACAGAAAACCAACAGCCTGACAGGAGGGGTCTGTAGCAAAAGGTCAAGCAAATTATAATGAAAACCTTTTGACCCTTTAAAGTAGTTTCTTAAGGTACAGGACTGGCTAGGGTAGTCCTTAAATAGTGCAGGTTAACTACAGAGGGTAATAAATATGAAGGAACATTTTTGAAGGAAAGCCTCACCTGCACACAAAGCTTTTTGCCTACTTACAGACTTTTTGCCCACTTTATATTAAAGTCCATCTGGAAATGCACGTTTTCGATGGACATTCTGAAAGATTTTTAAACCAACAATTGTGGTGCTTGCAATTGCCTTTTTCACTGTGATGAAAATAACAGAGGGCTAAACTACTCTGCTTGAGCACATGGCTGTCACTGAACTGCGACCTGAGCCTGTCAACCCGCACCCTCTTAGCCATGACTGTTCTACGGTTACGCATGTTCTATAAAACACGCATATTCGGACTAAAAGGAGAGCTCTTAACAATTGACCAACCGGAAGCTAACAACTAAACTGCTAGGGAGAGGATTAACTATCATTGTCTACATTTTAATATCTTTCTTTTTAACTTCTGCAAATAAGTTAAAATAGTCTAAATCTGTTGTTTTGCTTTTTTTTTTTTTTTTAAATCAGGAAATCTTTTTGTGGAGGAAATGATCACTTTCTACCATCCAATAACTACAATACACAAGACTCTTCTACGACAACATTTTGGCGTTTCTGGTGCTGATGCGCTGCTGATGAAGAGTCTACTTAATGGTTGAGAGCAAGATGGTGTCAGAATTCTTTCAGATACTTAAACATTTTTCTAAATTCTGCAGCTAGGACATGCTGGGTAGGAAATGGTTGTGGAAGGTGTGGAAGGATCCTTTTTTTGTTTGTTTGTTCATTTTTCCAGAATTACCTATATGCTTTTGATTTACAATTACATTGTTACTTTTGATTTTTAAAGGTATCATTAATGATGATTAATCGTTCTGTCAAACATTTCTCATTTATGGTTAAACTTTAAAGTATATGATACTCTAAACATTTTCTGAGTCATCCCTGTTAGTGCAATCATAAATGCACTCCTCTGGATCAGGTAGTTATTAACATCCCATTATATCCTTAAACAAATATTAACTTATGACCATAATTGTCTGGAAATGCTGAAAGACTTTTTATTTAAAGCAGTCTTTGGCTGACTATTCTCCCACACCCGATATATTAATTTTTCCATCTTCAGGAAAATGTTGCCATGAGAAAGAACAGCACTACAAAGCTGTCATGGAACATGTGGGAACAGGGCGCTTTTTCTTAGACCATTTCGTGGTCGGTCTGTGAAAACTATTACTCTCCCCTCCTTTTAATTGATGTACACCAGACTCCGCTTTGGTGATAACAATCCAAACGTCCACCTCTCTTTCACTTAGCTGGAGACGACCTAGCAAAGGAGATACAATGCAAGTACTCTCCTGGTCCCTCAAGGGAAAACGAGGATGCTATCAAGCGCCCTTTAAGTGCCCAGGCAGCAACACTGCAAATCTGCGGGGACAGAGAGCAGTGCACTGAACATGACAAGAGACACAATTTCCCCCACTGGACTGAAAGAAAAGTACCAGTGGCCACTCAAAAGCTGTGACTGCCGTCAGCTCTCCCACATCTCAGCTTGCATAAGGAACCTGCGCGGACGGACCTCGGTTCCAGTGCATGGCCTCAGCGGGGTGGCACAGCCTGAGCTCGCGCGGCAGCACAGGAGAGCTGCCGCCCTCCTCTGATGTGGCCAAGACAGCAAGAGGGAGCACCACGGGAAATTGATATGCCCTCACCTAGAAATTTCAGTGATACACTTTCAGAAAATGTACATGTATTTTGAGGTCTTTTGCAATTGTCATCCTTTCAGCCCTTCCTTTCTATGGAAAGGCCTTACTCCAGTTATGAAAAACTCATTTGGTTTATAAGGTCCCTGATGTTCCTGACTGCATTTTAGTAAAAAAAAAGAACTGCACTTTAAACAAAGACACCTTCCTTTCCTGTTCTTTAAGTGTACAGAGCCTGAGTAGCATTCTCAGGTTTAGATCAATTCACAGGGGAAAAATACTTTTCACTACTAGTTTTCAAGATGTGAATCACAAAATTGCTTTTCTAAAGGGAAGAGAGATGACTATTTTAGAAAACAAATTGTGTACCTACAAAACAAGTTATCCAGAAGATTACCTCTGTTTATCTGATGTTCTAGGGCTGCTGTTAGCATCAGTCCATCTTCTTTTCCTTCAATATGGAAGATTTGTTTGCAAAAACTAATCAGGCATGAAAAGGCAAGGCGGGTTATTTCCTTTCATTCACACAAACTTATGATTCAAAACACATCTATTTGGATACTTAATGCTGTATGTGCTACTCTAATGGACAATATGCATCATATGATACCAAACTGTCACCACGACCATTATTTTCCTGAGGAGGCTTACAGCTGAAACCATGAACCTTGTGAAATGATGCTAACCTTATTATTATTTCAAAGCCACTATTAATTTTTCCCTTTAATTAGGATAACATATAATTATTGTATATATAATGATAGATCTTTAAAATTCCCTGTAATAATGGAAGAGAATCTCTAAAGACATGAAAAATAACAGTTAAAAAAAAAAAAGAGCAAGCCTACTGTTTCTTGCAATGGGCTTTCAACAGTTAGTACTGATGAATATTGCTTTATAGGGCTAGGTATTTCTGAGAAGTAATTGAACAGATCACAATTACCCTAAGAAAAGCAATAATACTATGGCCACAGGTATATACCAATTAATAAATCTCTGTACAACAAGGTGCATGCGTATGCTATTGCACTGATAAGGCTGCAAAATACCTCTCTGCGATGACTACTATTGTAAAAATGTTATACCTAATAATGAACACGTTTCACAAAATAGTGTCTGAAATTCTCTTTTACCTGGGTAAATATAGGATTTCTCATGTCTTTTATTTCTCATATACTATTTCAATTGAGTGATCAGAATAAAGCGTTCTTATAACCTCTAGTTAAAGTTAGCCTACTTGCAAGTAGGGTTATTTGCAGTTAATCAGATATGTAGAAATAATAGACCAAACTTTTTATACCTTTTTTCCAATCTGTTACACACTTGCTACTTGCCAATAACACCAGTCAACACAACATCTAAAGTGATCCCTTAAGACAAATCACCTCTTATATCACTCATTCACTATCCAGTCTGCCACATAGGAAAAATGCATAATTAAAAAATAAAAAAACGCAAAATTAAAAATCATGAATCAGTTTTCTTTGTCTCCTATAATTAAGGATCTTGAAAAGAAGCCAGAAATCATAGAGGTGAATCTGTAAAATATAACATCTATAAAATACAAGTGAGTTTTCTAAGAATCAATATGTACATATGTATATATGCATGTGTATGTATACAAAGATATACTTTGAGGAGACAGTTCTAATTTACATAAAACCACCTAGCTATGATTGAAGGCAGTATCATGTCCAGCACGAACATGAATAAGACTGTGAAAGAGTCAAACATATATATAATACACACCCATGCAATATATATCAAGTTTTTCATATTCCAAGCACTTAAAATAGACTAAATTCCTTTGTGTTTTCAAAGCCATTACAGGCCTAAACGGAGCCTCAAAGCCTCCCAGAAACGCTAAAGGAATTCATAGTCTCATCACAGTTCTGTAAATGCTTTTCTATTTAACTTCATATTTAGACCAATTTATAACCAAAGGCAGAAAAATAATCAGGGTACAGGTGTCAGGGGACAATAAATCTTTTACATGAACAGCTTGAACCAATCCTCAGGAAATAGCATTAGCTTCAGTTTCATAAAATTCCTCTCTGCCCAGATGAGCACAGCCTTGTTTTTTGGCTAAATACTGAAGCGTTGATCTTATTTAAGTGCTATTTACCATACCTCCTTAACATAACTTTGTCACATATTGAGTTTGCTTTTTAGCAGTACTTAATATAAACTTTTGCAAATTTGCCTGTATGCTTTAGAGATAGTCCTAGTGACTTTCAATTCATCTTCTGCTCTGCTAGAGGAGCAGAAGCATGTCAGCTTAAGAATGCATGTCCCTTTTTTTCTGCTGTTGTATGTTCTGTGAGTTTTTGTATTAAGCTAAAAGCCCACCTGACCACGTCTATAGTGAGGCAAAGGCCTACTTTAGGTACATTAATGTAGCTCCCGTTAAAGTCAGTAAGAATTGCACTGACGTTTCCTAAGGTAAAAGTTTATCTTAATACTTTCTTTCCGCCCTCCCCCACCAGCTTTGACCCACTAATTACTACCTACCGACAACTCAAATACAGTCCTTCAAGGCTCCATGATATGAGCTTCAGATTATCATTACATTTGCTTCAAAACACATTTAATGTAGGCATTTAAAGCTCTGAATCAGTCATTATTTACACTTTGATAATAAGATATCTTTCCATGCACTTCAAATACTTTAACTTTACTATGATACTGCTTATACTGGGCAACTCAGCACAAAGCAGCTTTCCATGAGATTAAACAAATGGCTCATCTTATATTTAGAAAAAAATGCCTAATCCTTGAGTCATTTTTTTCATATTAAAATAACTCTGCTGAAATACTTAGAATTAAGATTTCTAAAACATTCGCCAGAACCAGTGACAATACCATTTATCTCTAAATCACCAGTCTGTAGTTGTGGGCGCTTGGTAAATATTTTGGAATATTTAAAAGTCATCCCATGCTTCAAATCACTCTTA